TTAGGGGGTTTTAGGATTTAGGGTTTAGGGCGTAAACCTTCTAGGGCCCCTGCCCGGGCCCCTTGAGTCATAATTTTGGAACCAAGCAACAACCCTACACCCCAAACCCCCAAAAACGAAAAGCTTCAACCCCTCCCAACAACAACACCCAGACAAAACCCTAACCCCTAAACCCCGAACCCTAACCCCTAAACCCTAAACCCTGAACCCTCAAACCCCAACCCCTAAACCCTCAACCCCAACCCCAAAACCCTAACGCCCTTAACCCCCAAAAACCTTCCAAGCAGGAGCAGCTGGGAGCCCTCTTTGCCCGAATGGGCCTTCAGCCCCTCATAGAGTCGAGGACCTGCCTCAAGGACCTCCGGCCATGGCACCTCGAAAGGGTAATGATTAATTTAGGAGTTTAGGGGTTTAGAGTTTAGGGTTTAGGGAATATACTACTTATCACTATAACATTAGTTATGGCAATGATGATAGAACTTACAATTCATTGCTATAGTATTAACTAGAGTAGTCACTGTATAGTTATAGTTACGATTGTGCTAGTTGTTATAACGGATTGGACTTTTGAGCGTAGCGGTTCAGGGTTCACCTGAGCCCCGACGTGAGAAGCTGCGAGGTTTAGGTTTAGGGTTTAAGGTCTAGGGGTTTAGGGTCTAGGGATTAGGGGTTTAGCGGTTTTGGGGTTTAGGGTTTGACTCAGGAATCAGGATAGCGACGTGGAGGAGGTGCTGTCGGCACTGGTGGCATCCACACCCCAAGCGCAGCTACCGAGCACCGTTGCTTTCGACATCTCGGGCCTTGCCCGGTGGACCCCGCAAGCCAGGCGAGCAAATGGCTTTCAAGCTTTTTTTGAACTGTTTAGGGTTTAGGGTCTTAGGGTTTTAGGGCTTGGGGTTTAGGGTTTAGGGTTTTAGGGTTTAGGGTTTAGGGTTTAGGGTTTAGGGTCTTTAGGTACACGAAAAGTCCTGAACCCAATTGAACCTCGTACCATGCAGTGATTCGTTTCGAGGTCATCCGTTGGTTGTCTAGCTTGGGAGTTCGGGCTGGAAGCATATTATCATATAGTTTCATATAATATCATAACTTCCAATATCACTTTATAGCAGCATTTATGCTTAAGCTACTACTATAGCATGATCTCCTGCAGGCTGCTCCTGGCACAGAAACTCACGCAGGACAAGCCTACGGAAGTTCCAGGTGGGGCTGCTCACTACACTTTTCTGGAGGCCTTGGCGTGGCAGCCTTACGCCGAGGTCGAGGCCGAGATCAACCCTAAACCCTAAACCCCTAAACCCCTAAACCCTAAACCCTAAACCCTGAACCCTAAACCCTAAACCCTGAACCCTAAACCCTAAACCCTAAACCCGATGTCGAGGCCGAGATCAAGCAGCGCTGCAGCAGCTCCAGCCCCCACGCTCGGGAGGCCGGGCTCGCCTCCCTGTTCCGCTGCGCAAGCCGGGAAGGGCCCGTGGCAGTAAGAGACTGGGTTCTTTATGTTTCCCTATGCTTCCAGGGACCTTATTATTGGGTCCTTAAGGGGTCTAGGGCCCTAACTATTAGGTCCTTGGAAGCATAGGGTTTAAGTACCATAACGGGGACCTATAGCAAATAAGAAGGTTTCTTTAAAGTTTCTTTATTATGGTAGCTTAAATAAAACCCAGGAGACGCCCTGAGTTTCTTGGAAGTCCGGCTCCGGAACGAACAGGACAGCGTACGTGCAGCGGTGCTTCGGGAGATGGCCAAAGCACCGGTGCTTCTTTGGCAAGACGTGCACCTAAATTCCCTGAGGCAGTTGCTCACCTCTTCCATGCAGGCCAAAGGCAGCAGCTCGGAGTCTCTGGGGGTCTGGCAGAAGTTGGTCGAGGTTTTCGTGGCCAACGGTGCGGCCTTGCGCACTGAAGCCGGGCTTGGCCCATGTGGGGCCTTTGGAATGGAAGTGAGGTCCCAGTTGACCGCCGCCGATCTTTGGGACCAGGAGGTTGCAGCCTTTGGAACCAGCGTCCTCGGTCACGTAGCACGGCTAGAGCCGCAGCCGGCCTTCGTGGCTTTTCCCTGGCTTGTGGACTTGCTGCGCCCCAGCATCCGGGCTTTGCTGGACTCGGAAAAGGTGGATGAGGCGGGCCCTCACCTCTCTCCGGAAGCGGCAAACTCGAAACCGGTGTTCTGCTGTGAGAACCGGACTGCAGGCTTTATTGCCCGGTCTGTCCGGTAGGATCACCGCACACCCCTAAGCCCTCCGTGCACCTACGAGAGCCCAATATGCCCCTTAAACCATCTGTCTTTCTAACTCGCTGCCTCTATCTCCCTCCCTTCATGCTGAGTTGAGGGGCCTCTTAGCTCTGCGGGCAGGCCTGTGCGCTGCTGGCGCGCTGGGAAGGCACGCGCCTCGAGCTCCTCCAAGGACTGTCTCGTGACAGCGCTTCCACGCCCGACGTCCCCGACGCCTGTGCCAGGGCAGCCGTCAAAAGCCCAGACCTTCCAATATCCCCTGATTTATCTTATTCAGGGAATACAGCTTACCACAATGTAGTAGGGTCCATCAGAATATGTCTTGAGGCATATTCCTTAATTCAGGGATCTTGGAAGGTCTGGGAACCCGGGCTGTGGATCCCAAATCCAACCCCTTTGTTTCGAGCGGCGAAGCCCTGGCAGAACTTCAGGGTTTAGCAGTTCCAGGTGCGGCCTTCGACGTGTTGCTGCGCGAGACCTTCGCGACTGCCATCCAGGCCTGTGGAGGGAAGCGCAGTAAACCCTAAAAACCTAAACCCTAAACCCTAAACCGGCCATAGGTTTAGGGCAGTTTAGGGGGTCGGCTTCAGAGCTTCGTGTGTTGAGGGTCTGCGGTCCTTTGGCGTTGTTCCGCTTTCGGCCCATGCTTTCGGCCTGCTATTTCAGACCTTAGAAGAACAGCAGCCCACACCGCAATGTGCATCCCTGCTTCGCAAGCCTTCTTTCCTTAAGAACCCTAATTATATTGAGGGAGCGGGGATCACTACTCAGGGGTCTGCCATAGCCTGCCACAACCCGTCGGGTGCAATTGAACCCGAATGTGGACCTGAACAGGACCCTACAGGGAAACTAGGTTTTGTTGGGTTGAGGTGTATATATTCAACCACCTCATCACCGCTAAAACCAGAAACCTAGTACCATGCAAATACCTCACATTCCCAAGTCCTAAAGCCCCAATTTCCCTAATCCCTAAACACCTATAAACCATAAGCCCCTCACCCTAAACCCTAAACCCTTAAACCCTAAACCGCCTAAACCCTAAACCCTAAACCCTAAATCCCTTGAAATCACACCTTCCACCAGGAGAGCCGCAGCTTCAACCCCTCGGCGGCCAAGGCGGCCCAGGAGGCTCTGCGGTCGTTGCCCCTGGCCAAGGGGTTTAGGGTTTTAGGGTTTTTAGGGTTTAGAGTTTTAGGCTTTAGGGTTTAGGGTTTAGGGTTTGAGGGTTTTAGGGTTTAGAGTTTTAGGCTTTAGGGTTTAGAGTTTTAGGGTTTTAGGGTTTAGGGTTTAGGGTTTAGGGATGGTTTAGGATGGTTTACGCTCAGGGTCAAGGGTCGAGGGTGTGGGGCTGTGGTTGAGGCTTGTTGTGAAGCATTTAGAGGGGTATTGTTAGTGTTTCTTGTATTTGGTTGCTGTACGGCTCTATAGAGTTGGGGCTCTGGGCTTACTCTCGCTGTCGGGGTGAGCAGCTGAAGATTTTTGCGTAGATCAGTGTAGAGTGTAGATGGATTAGGCTGTGGGGTGTTTCGTCCAAGCCCTGGTACGTGATCAAGTGGGCACTGAGGCTTCTGCCGAGCTACGCCCATCTGAAAAACTCCGGGGGCCTGACGTGGGCGCAGGACTTCGCCGGGCTCTATAAGGTGTGTCCGTCTCGGGCTGTAGCGGATTCATTTCTCAAATCCCTGCGCCCCTTAGAGTCCCCTAAACCCTAAACCCTAAACCCTAAACTCTAAACCCTAAACCCTAAACCCTAAACCCCTAACCCTAAACCCTAAACCCTAAATCCCAAAGCCTAAAGCCTAAACCCTTAGAGAAGGAGCAGGCGGTGCGACGCCTTTGCCGACTCGGCAGCTCTCGGTGGCAGAGCTTCGTCGGCTTTTTCGGCTCGGAGCTTCCCTGGCACACGACGCTGGCCTTGGCCTTTTTGGGGTCTTCGGAGGCTCGGCAGCTCCGGCGGCGGAACGGCGCCCTCTTCGAAGAGCTGGTGCAGGCGCTCAAAGGATCTCAGGGTGGGCCCTGTTCTTCCCCCGGAGACTCATAAGCATGACAAGACGTGGCGAATTATGGCGAAGTAGTTGCCAGTAGCTGATTAGCTTTGCTGGAGGCGCTCTGCACAAACTGGGACATGCTGCCGGAGTGGCAGAGAGCTCAGTTCGCCGCGGCAGCAGTGCAGCACCTGGGCAGTGCATGTCGATCGATGGAGATCTGTTTGCTCTTGGCACCTTTGCTGCACAGACTCTGCGATTGGCCGTTCTCGCTGGCAATTACTGGTGAGCAGGGCTCGAAGAAGTTTCGGCAAAGCGTGGATGAAATCGGAGAGAAGATTCGGCTGCGGCGCCAGGCCGAGGCGACCCGGCCGCACCGGAAAAGCGCTGGACGTCCACGTCCCCACCCCTCTCAAGCCTCGAAGGTTTGGGTAGCCCCGGTTTTGAACGCCATATGTATATATGTATATATATATATATAGATATATATACATATATATATATATAAGCTCAGGAGCTGCTGGCGCGTCATAAGCCTCTCAAGGCCTCCTTGTTGGAGGGCTGGCGGCGCCAGGACGCCTCGCTCCAAGCCGAGCGGCTCTGCACCTCCACCGTGCTCCTCAGGGCAATGTAGCTCGGGCCTACTTCGGCGACCCCCCTCACCTCATGCTAGGGATCTCAGCCTCACTCAAAAAAAGCCCAAGATCCCACCATGACATCCACACTGCTGCAGTTTGAGTCTCCCCGCTTCTTGCCCAGTTCCTCGACCTGTGACCCCGGGGCTCTTGGTTCGGGCGCTGCCTTCCAGCAGGGCCCCCAACAACCAAAACCCTAAGGCCCTAAATCTAAGCCTAAGCCCTGAAAAAGTGCCGAGGCAGCATAAGCCGGAGGCGATTCAGTTGCTGGGTTCTGGTTAAGCAAGGAGTTTTGAGTTAATAAGGATCTATATAGTATATAGTAACTACTTTGGTGTTCTTCGGAAGTACTCTACATGTTTTCCATAAAACTCCACGGTGTTATCAAAAAACAGTCTTTTTGTCTTGGTCCTAAGGGCGCTTAATGGGGTTTCCTTGCTATGGTAGCTGAAAGGGGTTTCCTTATCATGGTAGCTTTAAGGTTGCTGGTCGCCTTCGAAAGCAGCAAGCTACAACAGCTCCGGCTCCTGCAAGAACACGGCGCCTGGCCTCTGCACTTCTTTGGGCAGCAGTGGACGGGAAACAAAGGCGAGTGCTAGGATTCAGGGATATTCAGGGTATTTCGGGGGTTGTAAGCTTCCACCCATCTAAAAACGTACTAAACCCCCCCAAAAAAAACAAAGCACCGGGATTTTTCCGGGGTCTGTTCCGGGCTGGGAGAGGGCCAGGTCCTCGGCTGTTTTTCTCCTGGCCCGCGGCGCTGCAGCGCTCCTTCGCCGAGATTTGGCTGGCTTCGGGGCCTCTGGACCTCCAGGAGTTCCTGGACCCCAGAGGTGGGGGTTTCCGAAGACAGGGGACCCTAATAGAGGTACCCTAAATATAGTAGGATCCTTACTTTAAGGACCCCGAAGTAAGGTACCCCTAATTTTCGGAAAGTTGCAGGTGGCTCTCAGGTCCGGGAGAAGTGCCGCCTGCGCCTTTTGCTGCCCGCGCTGCGCTGCGAGGAGCTCCTGGGGGGCGTGGTGGAGGCCTGTGTGAAGGTCCTGAAGCAAGAGGAGGAGGAGGAGGAGGCGAGTGCGAGTGTGAGTGCAAGTGCGAGCAGCACCGCGCTGGCGGTGGCTCGGGGCCGGGCCGGTCAGCTCTTGGACCGGCTGATCCCCGTGCTGGCGCGCGCGGACCGGGCCCAGGAGCTGGCTCCCGTGCTCTCAGCGCAGCTTGGGAGAGGCAACTCCAAGCAGGTGGCGCGCAGCTTCCAGGTTTCTGGATCCCTCTTGGATACAATCTTATATTTTTGTTATTATAAAACCCAATATATATAAGGATTAACAACGGATCCTTTTTTATAAAAACCCCAACAGGGAACCAGGTTTTGCTGCGGAGGCTCCCAGGCTCCTCGGCCTCGGAGACGCTAAAAGCGGCCCTGGGGAGTCCCCGGCTGAAGGTGGCGGAGCGCGTGGCGCTGTTGCGGGATTCCAGCGAGCAGGGCCTCTTTGGCCGCCCCAAAGGCGACTTCGTGGCCTTGTTGGAGTCCCTCTACGACACGCACCGTGACGTGGGCGGCGCCGTGCTGGTGGCGATCTGCAGAATGGGCCAGACGTCCCTTCTGACACGAGTGAGCCAAGACGAAAAATCGCTGTACCAGCTCCAAGTCTTTCTCCGCCAGCTTTCTCCCACTTCGGACATATGGAATGATGAGGTGGCGCGCGTCCTGGCGACGCTCTGCCAGAGGCCTCATTTGGGAGACCAGTGCCTGCGGAGTCTCGCGGATTGGGCGCGATCGGACGGTGCCCACGATGCAAGCACCGTAGCGGCAGTTGCAAGTGCAGCTTCCGAAGCCTTGACCTCAGAAGCCGAGACCTTATGGGTGCCGGCGGCCCACTGCCTGGTCTCTCTCGCTCGCCTGGACTCCGGCCCGCTGGTCAGCCTCTTCGGCCAGCTCTGCACCGACTGTGACGCTGAGGGATCGGATCTGCTTCAGGCCTCCGCCCGGCTCAGGATCCTGACGAAGCAACTCTTGGGGTCCCAGGAAAAGGCTTCGGAGGCCACGCTGCTGGCCGTCGCGGCGGCGGCTTTCCGGGCGCCTTCGGTCCTTGCGCAGCGCGCTGGCTTGGAGCTCTGGGCCGCGCGTCTTCACTGGCAGGAGCCTGGGAAGGTTCTGGAGGCTTTGCAAAGCCTCCCTGCGCCCCTAAACCCGATCCTCCTCCCCGTGCTGCTCTCCAGCTGCTCCGAGTCGCTGAAGTCGCAGCAGCCACAAGGTGCTCTGCGTGAGACCTGTCGCGCCCTGCTAGAAGCTGAGACGGAGCCGGCTCTGGTGATGCTCATGGCCGTGGTGAACCTGAGTTCTTGTTAAGGAATGCCAGTTACCATAAGAAGGGGAACTTTAATATTTTTTGTAGCTCCGGATAGTAGCTTAAAGAAAGTTCCGCAACAAGAGCCCAGGAAGTTCCTCTTCTCTGGCAACTGGCCTCCTTCCACTCAAGTTGCGGCGTGGGCCACCCGTCGAAATACCTCTTGAATATCTTGTTTGTTCCCGCTAGCGGCTTTAGTTCGTTCGTTCGTTCGTTCGTTCTTTCGTTCGTTCGTTAGTTAGTTAGTTACTTAGTTAGTTAGTTAGTTAGTCAGTTCGTCGATTATACATACATGTATGTATATATATTTTTATATACATATGAATACATGTGTATATATATATATATGTATATATATATATATATGCACTGCGTGAACTTAATTGACCTAGTTGAGTTGTTGTGTCCCTGCATGTGCCAAGTTTCAGGGTTCGTCCCTCAATTGCGAACAAACCCTACACCCTCCTAAACCCTCAACCCGAAAGCCCTCAACCCCAAACCCTGAAAACCCTAAACCCTCAAGCCTATAGTCCTAAAGCTCTAAACCCCTTCTAGATCCCTATAGATCCCTTAGAAAAGGAGAGCCCTTTAGACTCTAAGAAACAAACACCCTTCGAAAAAGCCTGAAAGACCGAGGCCACCGCGGGGGAGACCGTCGAAAAACGGACCGCATCCGAGTTTCTGCAGGCGCTTCTTTCTGGTCTTGGTGTACCTTAACCCCAAATAACCTACCTTTTTAAGGACTTATATAAGGAATTCATAATGAGGATCCCTGAAAAGGTAGGTTCTTTCTGGTCTTGGTTTAGGGTTTAGGGCGTTTAGGACTTCGGGTTTCTGGCGTTTAGGACTTCGGGTTTCTGGCGTTTGGGAGTTCGGGGTTCGGGGCGTTTAGGGGTTTTGGGGGTTCAGCGCGTTTCGGGGTTTAGGTTTTAGGGTTTTAGGAGTTTTAGGGGTTTAGGGTTTCGGGCTCTTGTAAAGGGATTTATGAGCTTCCTCAGGCGCTTGTTCCCCGGTGCCGTGCCTCAGCCAGCTTGCAGCTGCTGCTCAACGGCCTACGCAGCAAGGAACCATCCTGTGTTATAGCATAACTACGGTGACCATACTCAGAATTACTTATAACCCCCCACTTGAGGTACTTTTTACCTTACTTACCAAGTCCCATGATCCTCCAAGTACGTAAGGTTGCCGTTTAGGAGTCAAGCCTTCGAGCGGGTACAGAAGAGCCGCGAAAAGGTGGCGCTTGAAGGTGGCCCCTTTGCAACTCCCAAGCTGGCAGCCCGAGTACAGATGCCCGATGAAGGGCCAGCAGCGTAGAGCGCCGAAAAGGAGGTTCAACTCTGGAGGTGGATTTCGTGCATGATCACGCTCTGGGAGTTTGTGGTTATGGCTTCAAGCTTCACATCTTGCCCAGTCTCTGCTTGCAGGGTTGCGATGCGCATGCTCGGAAATTTGGCTTTTGTAGAATACCTTACTACTTATACCTTCTCACAAAATGCTATGCCCCGACTCACAGCCCAACCTTTGCAGCTGCCCAAGCACCGCTGCAACAACTAAGCCCAAGACCCCAAACTCAAAACCTCTACACCCTAAGCGCTCAAAGCCTTGCCCCCTGAACCATCGAAGCCTCCAAAGAGGATTTATTTGGTTCTGGAGTCCGGAGTCTGTTGCATCCTTCATCTTACTAAGTGCTGCTGCTACGACGGCGACGGGGAAGGGGAGAAGAAGAAGAAGTAGCAGTCGTCGTCGTCGTTGTAGTAGTAATAGAAGTTCCTTCAAGCCCAATCCTGAAATCCCCAAAGCCTTCAACTTGTAGAAGTTTAGGAACCCGAGACTCCAAACCTTAAGACCAAGATCTCTACAAAGACCTAGACCCACAACTTTTCAGATACCGAAAGCCGCAAACCCCGAAGCCAGAAACCTAAACCTGAAACTTTGGTTTAGGCTTTGGAGTTTAGGGTTTGGGGGCTTGGGGTGTAGGCGAAGCCCTGGACTTTCAATGCCGTTTCTGCTTACAGAACCGACCAAAGGAAGTGCTGCTTCCGAAGGAAGCAGCGCTTGTTCCGTCGGAAGAAGCATTGGCAGATTCGGCTTCGACTTACAAGGGCCATTGCACACATGTGGGCATGTCACTATGACTTTCTTTGTGGTGTCCTAGGTTTTGCGGTGAATAGCTGGATCAAGCGTACATAAACTTACAAAGCTTCGCAAGTGTCTCTCTCTTGCGTTGAGGCGCTCCTCGGGCAACGAAACACGATACATCCTAGTAGCCCATGGCAACTCGCAGGAAAAGCTAAAAGCCCCTTCTTCCGGGTTTCGTGGCAGCATCGGAACCCACACCGCGCATGGCTGCGCTTGGATGCACGATTCGCACTTCTCTGCTCTGTCATGTGCTGCTTCTCTGCTTCAGGCTCCGTGATCTACAGTAAGTCTTCCTCTGAAACCCAAGATGCAAACCTTAAAGTCTAGACCCCAAACCCCTAAACCCCCAAACTCCTAAAGCCCTAAAGCCCTAAACCCTAAATCCCTAAGCCCTAGACCCTAAACCCCTAGAGCCTAAACCCTAAACCCGAAACGACGGGGTTCCTTAAGGGGTTCTTCTACTTTACGGATCATGGGACTTAGTAACTAGGGTTAACTATATGTAACATACGTGTACTCAAATATAAGGTACTTATGACCTTACGTACCAAGTCCCATAAACCTCCAAGCGGGGTTTGACGGTTTTAGGGTCGAAGCTTTGACCCCCTAACGTCTTTCCCGATTCGGTGCATTGGAAGCATTTCGATGAGTTTGAGGTTGACACTCCCAAACCCAGTGGCCGATGAAGCCAAGTTTCGAAACCCTGAACCCTAAACCCCAATAAATCCTACACCCTAAACCCTAAACCCCAATAAATCTAAATCCTAAACCCTGAACCCCCAATAAATCCTAAACCCCAATAATCCCTAAACCCCCAATAAACCCTAAACCCCAATAATTCCGAAACCCCAAAAATCCCTAAACCCTGATCCGAACTTCTACGCAGGCCCAAGCCCTTGTCAGGTGGTGGATCTCCGGCTAAGTGAAGATCCCGAACCCCCAAATCCTGAAACCCTAGAAACCCTTGGAGGTGGCAACGCCCCTAAACCCCGAAATCCTGAACGCTAAAGCCCCGTTTAGGGTTTGGGGGGTTGGGGTTTAGGGTTTAGGCTCAAAGCCTTATCCCGGAGCCTTAGATCGCTTGTAACCCTGGAGCCTAAACCCTTCAAGTCATTCGATGGGTTTCGCAGCCTGGAAACTCTTACATCCGCACAAATGTGACAGGTTTCTTCGAAGCCTTTAGCCCGAAAGCTTCAAACAGGACCTCGTTTTCAGGTTTGGGATTTAGGGTTTCGCTTTTTAGGGCGGGTTAAGATTTAGGGTTTCGCTGTCCTTTCAGGGTTCAGGCTTAGGATTTCAGGTTTAAGGCTTCTAGGGTGCCAGAGGGTGGGCCGAAACTCGACGTCTTCAAGAACTTGCCATGGACCTTACTGACTCGGAGGTTCATGGGGCTTACCCTAAACCCTAACTCCCTAAACCCCTAAACCCCTAACCCCTAAACCTTAAACCTTACGTAACCAGGGTTAGAATTAAGGTAACTGTACATGTAGTTTCCTATAGCGCCAGTTTAAAGTACTCAGAGCCGAACTTGCTAAGTCCCAGGGTCCTCCCAGTAGAAGCTGTTCTCTTGAAGGGCCCTGGGGAGCGATGCTACAACAGCGGAGCAGGCGCATCTTCTGTTTGACTTTTGTCTGCCTAACTCTCTCCTTCTCTACTTAGATCCTTAACCCCTAAACCCCTAAGCCCTAAACTCCAAGCCCTAAGTCCCTAACCCTAAACCCCTAAACCCTTATTCTTAAACCCTAATCTCTAAACCCTAAAAGTCCCTGAAGCTTTGGCGCCTGTGTTGTGCTTACAGGATTGTGTCTTTTGGGTCTGGGCTTTCGGGGTTTCGGATTTAGGGTTTCGGGT